TCACCCCAGCCAGCTCCTCCGATCGAGGGGCCCATGCCCACTTTGTGCTAGCTCCCTCCACGCTCCGGATGCTGCCCACGTCAACCGCCCGTGACGCCACCACCGTACGGCACTACCCCTCCCCCTCCCCTCCCCTCCCCCTCCCCCCCCCCCCCCCCCCCCCCCCACACACACATACCGATACATCTCCTGCACAGCTGCCATGACTGCCACGTGAGCTCTCCGTGAGTTCCCACCGGTCGGTTCTCCAAGTCGAGTGGCCTGCCCTCCAACCGGCCGCCTGTCGGCTGTTCGTCTAACCCTGAACGGTACGCTCGTTCGGGCGCGTTGTCGCGCGTCTCAAAGTGAACAACTCGGTGATGTTTGACTTCCAGATCACCGGCGGATGCTGCACGACGCCTGCTTGGCCTGCGGCTTGGGGTGGCAGGCGCGCCCGCACGTGATGGCGGCCGACACGTAGACGCCCGCCTGAAGGATGCCAGACCTGGGAGTATATTATGGGCGAGGCGCGCAAGGTGCCGTACGCCGCCGATTCGGAGGAGCGGCGGGCGCGGACGGTGCGGAGCTTGTTGTTGACGACCCCGACGAGCGGGGAAGGAGAGCATGACAGAGTTGAACACAGCGGCGGGACGGGAGAGCGCGAGGGCGTTATGGATCTTCTTGCGACGGACGAGCTTGCCGGTCGGCGTGGCCGCGCAAGTGATGGCACGTCATCCTGTACTGGATTCTGGACGCCGCGCTCATCAACGCGTACGCGCTCTACGCCGACGCGAGCCCACGCCCCGCCATGACTCGCGTGGCTATCATCGACGCCTTCTTGCCGCCAGCGCCGCCGCCGCCAACTCCGCGCCGTCGCGCAAGCGAAAGCGCACCTCTGCGGCGGCTGCTCGTCACCACCACTTCGCACAGCGAGCCGCCGTGCGACGCGACTGCCTCGCCTGCCGGAAGCTTCATGGTAAGCGATGGCGGCCGCGGACCTTTTGCGCCGCGTGCGGCACTCATCTCTGCATCGCCGACTGTGGTCTGTTGTGGCAGCCATTATCACTTTGTACTACTCTCTTACAACAATCCATGGACGTTGCGACGTCTGTGGAGCGCGGCTTGCGCGATGGATAAATGAGTCCATTCCGTACCGCAAAGGGTTCAAGGTAAAGGCACCCCACTTCACCACCTCTCCTCCGTTTCCGCGGGTCTGAGCCGCAATTGGCTTTACTTGGCAAGAATGACTTGGTCGACAAAAATGGTTAGCGCCTTGTGGACACGAATCGATTGCTGGTGGCCCTGGATGACGTCGGCTGCAAGCGAGAGCTTGATATCAAGCTGACTTTCCTCCAGATCCATGCCATGCTCGCCGGCGACGGTGACCACGGCCTCGGTCACGGCCTCAATGGGCGCCGACGGCTGCTTGTGCTTGACGTGGACGTACGAAGCCGAAGCAAGATCAAAGTGCTCGCGATCCTTGCTCGAGAACTCGGGTCCCACCAACGCCCGCCTTACAGCAAGAAAGCAGGTGATGGCGTCAACCGACAGCACTTCGGACCGCTTCCGCCCCAGCTTCTCAAACAGCGAGATCTCTGGATGCTCCGACCGCCGCTCGCCCACGTTGTACCACAGCGAGGCTTCGGACTCGTGCGCTCCACGCCGTGACGCTGCCTGGCTGCGGGCCCACGTGCGGATTGCCCGCGATAGCGACCACTTGGCCCGCTCAGCCGACGCCTCGCGCAAGAGGTAGATCTCGTCAATGGTGCCAAGCAGCCAGTCCAGCGATCGCAGCTGGACGGTCACACTCTTCCGCCGTGAGGCGACGACGATGATGGCGATTCGGGTGCCAGTGACGACGAGCGCCGTGGCGACGACGACGGCCGCATGAACATCGGTGTCCGCGGCGAGACCGGCGACTGCGCTGCCACCAGCGGCGTAAAGGGCGTGAGGGGCGAGAGTGGTGATCGTGGCGACGATTTGCGTGTATCCACTTCAAGCTCAAGATCAGTTTGGAAATCAAGTGTGAGTGTCAGTTCGGGCGAGGCAGAGCCGACCGACTGCTCGGTCGGCGAGCTAGACGGTGAGTAGTGCGGGGGCGACTCGGAGCCGATGGGAAAAAGCGACGACGACGACGGCGACTTGGTCATGATGCTCATAGAATTGCGTCGGTCCAGACCGATTCGACGAATGGTTGGCATGGTGAGGATCGGCCCAGAGGCTGGCCGCATGGTCGCCAACGACGCTGAGTACATCTTGGTCTCGCCGCGCTCGTCCACAGGCGGAGGCGACCGAGACTCGGATAGTCTTGACCGGCTTGTAGACCGCGACAGCGACCTGGGCGAGCTGGGCGGCTCGTCTGACTGCAGTGATGGGTCCAGACTGGGCATCGTGGCGGAGAGCTTGCCGAGCACAAGATCTACAAAGTCGTCCGAGTCGGAAGAAAGCGTCCCAGAGCCGTTTCCGGTTCCAACCGGCAAGCTCTGCAGCTCGAGCGACTGGCTCTGCTCCGGCGGACCCGGAAGCGAGTTCGAAGCGTCATCCATCTCGCCCAGCGAGTCTGAGACGCGAAGCTCGGCTTTGGCCTCCTCGTGGAGGCTCGCCGCTGTCACCTTGCCTGACGCCAGATCGTCGACCATTCGGCGCACCTCTTTGTAAGCCTCGTGTGAGACCAGGTCGCCAAAGCCTTTGGCAGTCATGTGTGAGCGCAGGGCCTGGACCTTGGAAATAGAGTCCTTCCACTGGACCGCCACCCGTTGCGATGCGGACCGGTTGAGGAACTTGGTCTCCACGGCCTTGGCCCGCATCGTCCGCATGTGTTTCCGCAGCCGCGATGCCTCTTCTTCTTTGGAGAAGATCAACTCGTCGATGTCATTGATTTCTCTTTGGATGGATGCAATCCGCTCGCGGAGCGTGTTCAACCGTGCCGTTTCTTGCTCCAGTGCGTTTTCCTCGCGCAGCCGGGTCGCCGAGTCGGCCTCGACCTGCGCGTTGAGCACGATGGTCTGATGAATAAGCCACGAGTTCTTGAGCTTTGCGGCATCCAACTTGTCATGCGCCTCGTCCAGCTGGTTCCGCTCAAACGACGCCACCCGTGCCTGCAGCGCCGCGTCCTCTTGGGCCAGGTGCTCGGCCTCGCGGGCTTGTTCCAGTTGCTGGGACAGGGTCATGATCCGCTCCTCCAGTCCCACCAGCTGCTTCCTCAGCTGTCCCTTGGAGCTTCGGATAGCCGAGAGCTGCGACTTGAGAGCCCGTGGTGCATCGGCCACCTCTGCATGCTGGGCAAGGAGCAGCTCGGCAGACTTCTTTCGCGACATCATCTCCCACGCGACGTGGGCCCTCAGCGATGGCAGGACCCAGATGACCGACCGCAGCGTGGAGATGCAAGCCGCCAGCAGGGCCTTGAGGCCGGGACCGCCCTCTGGTGCCACCAGCACCTTTTCCACTGCTTTGATGAGAGTCTCTCCAGGCACCTGTGCTCTCTCATCCTGGCTGACTACCAACGATGACGTTCCCCGCAACCGAGACGTTCTTGGCGCCAGCGGCTCGACCTCGCGTGCCGCCACCAGGAACCGGTCCACAGCCGCCTGTAGTTCCACTATCCGGCCCATGAGAGGACCAAGCAGGAAAAGGAAGAGCAAAGAGAGAGAGAGAGAGGTGAGTGTAGGTGTTGTTGTGGCGGTAGGTAGACCCGCTGAGCTACTGTCCCACCTGCCAACTTGCCGTTCATCAGCTGTCCACCGCCCGCGCCCGCCCTTCTTGCCGCTCACCCCCCCCCCTCCCCCCCCCCCCCCCCCCGCTGCCTGCCAGCAGACTTGGGCGCAGAGACGTAAGTGCAGAAGGACCCGAGGCGGACGAGTTGGTTGCATACCTCACTCATTCACTTGGGAATACAGCATGCAGAGACTGGCGCTGGGAGTGGTGCTGCAGGTGGTTATGGTTGTGGCTGTGGTGCTGTCTGCGGTGGTGAGTGCGTCGTCGCAGCAGTGCTCTCTGGTGGAAGAGCTCAAGGCTGCCGGTGGTCACATCCATGAGATGATCAATGTGGCTGATGGTGGTGGGGATGAAAGTGGTGGTTATGCTTATGGTGGTCGGCGACTGGTGGCTGCAGGGGATATCGGTGGTGGGGAAGAGCTGGTTCATGTCCCCTTTGCTGCCATGATAACTATCGACGACGCCTATCGCTCGCCCATTGGGAGGGTGCTGATGGCCCTTGAGCTGCCGGATGCACAGGCGCTGGCGCTGTACCTGCTGTTTGCTCGCGCATGGCCACGGGTGGACCCGCAGCTCACCTCAATCAAGGCCTGCCATCTTGCTTGGCTGCCCACTCCGGACGAGATCCACGTGCCGATTCTGTGGCGCGCAAGCGAGCGCGAAGCCCTCCACCCGTCACAGATTGCCAGTCAAGTCGACGATGACGCTCGGCGCGCACGCGATGCATACAAGCGGTGGTCTGCTGACCTTATCCTCGCACTGCGCCGCCTCGGCCTGAAAAAGCCCGACCCGGCCGAGGTTTTCTCCCTTTCGGCCTTCAAGTGGGGTCTGGCAGTTGTCTCCTCACGAGTCTTCTCCGTCACCGTCACCGATCCAAGCTCCGGCGAGCAGATCCATCACCGGGCACTGGTTCCGGTCCTGGACCTCGCCAACACTGACGTCCACTCGCGGGTCCGCACCATCGAGGCTGTCGGGCCCGACGGCTCGATCTCGCTTCAGTCGACAGCACCGATCGAGGCTGGTGCTCCAGTGACCGTCTTCTATGGCTCGAACCAGCTTTCCAATGTCGACCTCTTTGTCAAGTATGGGTTTATGCTGGGGGGCACCGAGGTCCACGATCCCGAGTCGGACCTTCCTCCCGGCATCACTGTCTCCCTCGCGGATGGACCGGCACCACTCCTTGTCAAGCTTCCGCCAGGCAACCCAGAGAGCAAGCTGTACATCAATCCGGAGTTGGTTGCTGCCATCAAGCCCAACGAGCTCGAGGCCGAGATCCGGAGCCGCATCGCCGCTCTCGACTTGGCCAAGCAGAGCTTGGTCAAAATCGAGCCGCCGTATCCGCCGCGGACCACACTTGCCCTTGCTGTCCTCACCAACGAGCGCTGGTATGCTTCGCGCGCCCTCCACTCCCTGGTCCTCATCCGCCAAGCCGCTGCCTCTGAGGCTGCTGCCGCCGGCATCACCCTCGACGCCGACAAGACTGATCTGTGAGCCTAAATCCCCCCCTCCCCCCTTTCCGAACCCATCGGTGCTACCATCGCCGTGTCTGCATACACTCTAACTTTAGCACTGTTCAACAGAAGCAGGCTGGTCCCGAGTCGGTAGCCTCGGCCGTGGTCAGTTGCCGTGGCCTGCGTGCTTTTGCGAGAGTGACACATTGGGTGACTGCGACCGATTGAGCCGATGGGTGACGAACCGGAGCTTCCACGACGACCAGGGCGACAAGGCGACCGGGTGGAGTGACAGCAGAACCAGTGGTGGCAAGAGTGGTAGTAGCACCACCCCACTTTACGCACACGCACACACACACACACACACTAACATAGGGTAGTGTGATGGCTGTGAGTGGGTTAAACGCACGGCGTGCCAAGGTGCGCGCCAGCAACCACTGTCCGGCTGTCCTGCTCGCGCCACTGGGCGAGGAGCGGGTCTACCGCCAGGCTATCGAGTGGTGGGAGCGGATCGACGAGGGACTGCAGTATGTTGTGGCCACAGGCGACATCGGGAAGGGCGGCAAGTATCTTATTCGCTGGCTCAATCGGCTGGAAAAGGGCATCGAGCTCGAGTTTCCGCTGGAGGACTCGCCGGCGGCCCACGCAGTCTCGCCGCGCCGCATCTCGCTCATCCGCTCGCTCTTTGCGCTCGCCACCAACGAGCGCTTCTCGCTCCGCATGCAGCGCCAGATCTTTAATCCGCTAGCCAAACTTCTTGACGAGCCCGACATGGAGTTTCCGGATCTGGAGATCGATTGGCGCCCACTTCACCACATCGTCACCTCGCTGTACTCCGAGTCGTCTTGCCCGGACGGGATGATGCCGTCGGCCTCACACGCCTCGGCGCTGTACAAGGTTATTTCTCGGTCGCGGAGGCTGTTTCCTCGAAGCACGGCCGCGACTGTCCTGGACGAGGCAAAGCCATACATCCAGCCGTATGCGCCGGGCGTGACGCTCAAGGCGCTCCTGGTTGCCACCATGTTTGTCCCCGCATCGCATGCACCGCTGAAGGAGTGGCTGCCGACCTTGCTGGAGGCCGACAAACTCATTCGATCGCGCGAGTGGACGACCCGGCTGCTCTCACTCTTGGTCGAGGCACTGGAGGCGAGCGTGTGCGAGGCGGAGCGCCACGCTGCCGTGGCTGCGGAGGTGTGCAAGCTGTTGCCGGACCTGATCCAGCGCGGCATCTCGCGACTGCAGTTGCCTGGCGCGTCAGGCTCTGGACAGGCCGACGTGGCGCTGCCGCAAAGCGGGCAGCAGCTCATGGTCCCTTCGTCGATGACCCACCTGCTTGGGCGGTCGATGTTTTGGATTGAGCTGGGCAAGGCGTTTGTGATGGCGGCTGCCAATGGGAGTGCCGACTCGCCGGCATACTCTGCGCTCGAAACACTGCTCACCATGCTCAAGTCCTACCTGCACCCGTCCAACTCGGGGCGGTGGCAGACCGCGCTCGCCGTCCTGCTCAACACGCTGGCGACGACGGTGACCGAGGTGGCGGTGGCTGCGCCCGACGCATTTGCGGCGCCGATGCGGGCCAAGTTTGTGCTGCTGATGGAGCGCCACATGTATGTTGCGCTGTACTCCAAGTCGCACATGCTGACCAAGGCCGGTGTGGCGATGGCTGAGGCGTGCATGACGCTCGAGCCGCGGCTGGTCGTGGAGAAGATGACGCTCGAGCTGACCACCTCGCTCCAGTCGGTCAACGAAGTCCACCGGACTCAGGCTGCTTTGCAGTTACTGGGCGCGGTCCTTGTCCCGTGGTTTGCTCGCAGTGGCTTTGACCATGCTGGGCTCGGCCCTCGGGTTCAACCTGAGGCTGCGTCACTCGAGCTCTTGCTATTCTTTATGGACATTCTACTGATGGGTCTCGACCCGAACGACATGGGCAAGTCTGTGGCCACCATCCGCACCACGTTTTCGCTGCTCTCGATGATGCCACTCGCTGCGCGCGGCACGACCGCTGCCCTGTTCACCGACTGGGCGCTGGCCTTTGTCGACCGCGCGTTCTCGTTCTATGAGCAAGCCGAGGATGTGTCGATGGTGGCTTCCATCGGCGTCGACGTCGGCGAGCGGGCGTACTCGGTCCGCGGCGGCGACCGCGCGCTGGGCGGAGGCTCGCTGGTTGCGTCTGAGGGTGCGAGCTCGGCGGCGACCCAGGCTCAGATGGTTGGGGCTACTTTTCGGGCGTCATGGCTATGTTTGCCGACGCGCTACCTCGCAGCATGGTGGCCGATGTCGCGCGGCACGTGCTCCAGCTCATCCGCGGGCGGCTGATGATGAACGCGCTTGAGCAGGTTCGCGACGTCGTCTCGGTGCTGTGCGGCGGCTCGACACTTGAGAAGCAGAAGATTGCCATCGACATTCTCGCTCCGCCGACGCTGCAGATTGTGCGCGACGAGCTGGCGTCCGGCGCTGGGAGCCAGGCGTCGGCCAACGCGCCGCTGCTGCTGTGGAACTTGAACGTGCTCGCCGGCATTGCACAGTCGCGGGCGTTTGCGCGCGACTACGCCGACGATATCCGCGCGCTCTTGCCCAAGATTTTTGCGCTTGAGCACAAGGGCGCGGCCATGCTCGCCGCCGAGTTTGTGCGTTGCATCCTCACGGCGCTGTCCGAGACCGATCACGTCGGCATTGCGGCTATGGGCCCTGCCGAAGCCGAGGCAATGCTTGCTAGCGGCGACTCGCCAGAGCTACTCTGGCGCGGCCCGCTGCCGTCGCTGCAAAAGACGCGGCTGGAGCTCGAGTGGGTAGTGGCAGCCGACGATGCCCACCGCCCGTTTGTCGAGTTTGCTTGGGAGGTCTTTGACTGCGTGTGGGGCGAGGTCGAGACTCGTCTCGTGGCTTACGCCTGCTCTGCGCCAGGCGAAGAGCCGTTGACCAAGGCGCAGCTCCACGCAACGCTTTCGCTGCTGGCGGGCCTGCTACAGGGATCTGGGCGGCTTCTGCCCGAGAGCGAGTACTCGGGACCTGATGCGCAGTCGGAGACCGAGACGACGCCACGGGGCGACGCTGCGGGCGGTGGGGACGGCTTGTGCAGCGATGCACATGAGGTTCTTGCCCAGGCGCGACCGGCGATGCTCTCTCTCGAGGTGCTGGACATGCCGACGCCTGCCCGACGCGGCGGGTGGGGCCATGAGCAGAGCCGCGACGACATTGGGCGGGTCCTGCACCAGATGGCGAGCAAGCTCTCTTCGCATGAGCTGTCCGATGTACTTGGAGCGCAGATTGTGTGCGAGTGCATCCGTCTGCATCTCGCCTTCCGCGGGGTGAACAAGGGCGAGGTGTCGAACGCACAAAGCGCGCTTATCAACTCGCTTTTTGAGACGCCGCTGATGAACGCACTCTGCATTGCCTCGCGGTCGCTGGCGGTCATCCGCACGGGGCTCTGGTGGCACCACTACGAGTTTGTGAACCGGCTTGTGCCGCCGAGCGAGACCAACGTGGCGCTGCTTGACGATGTGTTTGCGCTGGCGCGCGGGCCACACGCGCCGATCCGGGCAGCGGCACAGGAGACTCTGGCTGCACTCCTGCCGCGGTTCACTCTCACTCGGGCGCGGCTGCTGGCGACGGCGCTCGACGCGCTCGACGCCCCGGGCGAGGTCGGCGACGACGTGCTCACCGGCTCACTCTACTTTATCAACCGCGGCCCGGAGCTCAAGTTTATCATGACGCGACCGGAGCTGCGGACCAAGCTGCTGGTGGCGCTCGGCAAGACTCATCGGATCGAGAAGTTGACGGTGCTGGCGCGGGCCAACGCGCTGCTGCACAAGGTGCTCAGCCTTGATGTGGCGCCGTTTGTGCAAGCGCCAGGCCCGTCTGGCCCCGTTCCAGGCCATTTGGCACAAGCTGTTGACGAGCATGCCTCGGCCGTGACGGCCAAGGCCGAGGCAGCGCATGCTGCAACGTGCTCGGCGCTCCTCGCAGAGCTCGACGAGCACCCAACGATGCACTGGCGGCACGTCGGGTTTATCATCATGCTGCTCACCAACGAAATGCGGACTGACGCGATGCCATCGGCCGAGCTTCTGCGGCTCTTCCTTCGCAAGGCTGTGGACGAGCTCGAGTCGATCCGGAACATGGCGCTGGTGGGCCTCTGCCCGATTCTGGTGCTGTTGAGCCAGGCGCTCGGCCTGCACCCGGTCCATCGGCCGAGCGCGTTCCAGGTCGAGGGCGACGAACTGCCAGAGGCAGAGGTGTTTGGCGACCAAGCGAGCTTTGAGGCGGCCGAGTTTGTGGATCCGGCATGGGCTGGGTGGTCTGCAGCGGTACCGTCGACCGCGACGGTGCTACGCGACTTGCGGCCCAAGCATAAGCTGTTCACCTTTTCCGCCAGCGAGGCCCAGGTTGCCGAGCAGGCACAAGCGCTTGTGGCCGAAGTCCGAGCATGCTTTGGAGAGGCCGAGTACTTGGTGCGAATGGTAGAGGTGCAGCAGATGAGTGAGCGCGGCGATGAGATCGGCTTGGCATTTCTGCCATCACGGGCGTTCACGCTTTCGCTTGGCTTTGCGCTTGTGGGCCCCGAGACAATGCTTCAAGTGGTGACGCCATGTGTTGGGCTTGTTCTGAGCGGTATGGCCGCGAACGACGCGTCGGCGTGGTCGTCGCATGCTCTGGGCGCCGAGCTCATGTCTGCGGTCGGCAGCGCGTCGATGTACACCCCCGACGTCGAGGCGTGGCAGGCGGCGGGCGAAGTGGTGACGACGCTGCTGCGTGCCGGACTGAGCCTGGCCAAGGACAGCGAAGGGTTTGAAGACTGGAAGGTGGGGCTCTCTGCTCTGCTCGAGGACCACGACCCGCGGCGGTTCGGATGGCTGCTGAACGAGCTGGCAGCCGCACCGCGGACGGCTTCGACGTCGGCGCAACGGGTCAAGGCTCTGGAGCTTGTGACGCTCAGCGTTGTCGTGGCCGGGCGGCGGAGCGTGCGGTGGTTTGAGCCGCTGCTAGACGAGCTGGCGGCGGCGCGGGCGTCGGAACTGAAGCAGATGCGCTCGGTGGTCATGTCGTTTGTATCGGAGCTGCTGGCGCTCGGGCCGCGGCCGGCGGTCGACGTTTGGGTCTCGGCCCTGTTGGCCGAGGTGCAGGACGAGGGCGCACCTGCCGAAGTGCGGTCGCGCCGGGCCAAGGTCCTGCTCTCGCTCGTCTTCAACTCATCGTTCAAGGTTGGGCGTGGAATGGAGAGCCAGCTGGCTCGTGTCGTCCCGCTAGTGGCCAGCGCTGCCGACGACACTGATCCGGCGGTGCCATCATATGCGCGGCTGACGCTGCGGTTCTGTGGCAAGCTCGCGGTCCCGTCTTCGATGCTTGAGGATGTAATGACAGCGCTCACCAAGTGCCTGGCGGTTCGCGAGGAAGCGTCGTGGCGGGTCCGGCTCTCTGCGCTCTCGGGCATCCAGTCGCTCATTCTTGCACAGGCGCCACGGCTAGGAGCGGCGAGTGCTGGCGGGGTCGGGCTCGCGCGTGCAGTGCTTGATGCACTGCTAGATCCGCAACGCGAAGTTTGTGATGCGGCGTCACACACACTCTCGGGCATGATGGTGTGTCTGCCGTGGCTTGGTGTCGAGGTCCTGCTGCCGCTGCTGGACGCAGCGGCGCAGCTCCCTGTCCGCGACGTGCGGCGGCGGAACAAGAAGAAGCGTAAGGGCAAGAAGAGCAAGGACACGGATGGATGTGCTGGCCCCAGTGCCGTCGACTTGAGCGGGACGCGGCTTGCACTTTGCGAGACCGACGCCAAAGCAGTGGGAGATCTCGCGCCGGACGAGCTTGACACCCGGCTGCGCAAGGTGCATGCCGCAGTGCAGGGTCTCATTGCGCTGCTGCGGACCGAGCCGTACGAGGTGACGGCGTGGATGGTACCTGTCCTTGTCCGGGTCGCCAAACACCAGGCGTCACCGCTGCCGATCCGCAGCACGGTCTCACGGTACTACGCCGAGTTCTGGCGGACACACTCGGACTCGTTCCCGCTCTACGCGTCGCTCTTTTCTGCCGATGAGCTGGAGACTGTGCGGGAGATGGTGGTTGCACCGACCTACTTTGCCTAACCCTTAACGGTACGATCGTTCGGACGCGTTGTCGCGCGTCTCAAATTGAACAACTCGATGATGCTTGACTTCCAGGTCACCGGCCGGCCGTCGCTGCGCGACGCCTGCTTGGCCTGCGGCTTGAGGTGGGAGGCGCGCCCGATGCGTGATGGCGGCCGACACGTGGACGCCCACCTGAACGATGCCCGAGTTGCCGTCGCGATGACGGACGCCTGAGAGCATGGGCGAGGCACACGAGGTGCCGTACGACGCCGATCCAGAGGAGCGGCGGGCGTGGACGGTGCGGAGCTTGTCGTTGACGACCCCGACGACCGGGAAGGAGAGCATGACAGAGTTGAACACGGTAGCCGGACGGGAGAGCGCGAGGACGTTGTGGATCTTCTTGCGATTGACGAGCTTGCCAGTCGGCGAGGCCGACGCCGAGTTGACCGCGATTGATGGACGTTGCGACGTCTGTGGAGCGTCGCGGAGCGCAGCTTGCGCGATGGACAAAGTTGTCCATTGCGCACCGTAAAGGGATACCCGCCAATGTCGCCAGGTCCCGTTCATCGCCAAAGACAGCACGACGATGACGACGACGACCAGTCCATTGCGTACCGTAAAGGGATACCCGCCAATGTCGCCAGGTCCCGTGACCGGGTGGAACGATGTGGAGGAGGTGACAGGTGATGGTGTAAAGGCGGTTGTGGAGGCCATGTTCGAGCGGACTCTGGCTGTGGTGACCGGGTGGAACGATGTGCAGGAGGTGACAGGTGATGGTGTAAAGGCGGTTGTGGAGGCCATGGCAAGGGAGGTGACCAACAATGAAAGCGAGGCCTTGCTCAAGGTGGAGACTGGCTACAAGGCGCTGATTCGGGTGGTGGTGCTGGTGGCTGATGCAAGTCGGGCGGCTTTGGAGAGCGAGTCCAGCGAAGGTGTTGTGGGCAGAGGTCGGATCTCGAACAGTGACATGACGAAGATGTATGATGCGCTGGAGTTTGCCCTGCCGTCGATGATGCATGCGGTGCGGTTGGTCGCTGGAGGACATGAGTTTGTGAACGAGCTGAGTCGGGACTGGCTTGATGCCTTCTTCCCGCCATTGGTCGACTCGCTGACGGCGGCCGAGGCTGGTGGGGTGGCATCGGTGCTGATGGGCCAGTACTGGCGCCTGGTGGTGTGGCTGATGGTCGAGCCGAGGGGTGAGTTTGTCGAGCAGGGCTCAGCAGGGTTTGAGGCCGGAATGCGGTCGTTGATGGCAGCGCTGCCGGTGCTACACGCCGATGCAGGCGGGCGACAGGCTTTTGAGCACATGGTGTCGTGCGTAGCCAACGGCATTGTCATGACCCGGTCGTGGATCGGATACGACTACCAGGCGTTAGGGGACGATCTCTTGAACGCCACGTTTAACGAGTGCGATGTGATGATTCCGATGGTGGCTTACGAGGGCTTGATGGAGATGGACGAGGTTGCGTTGCTTCGGGAACTGCAGGTTCGGTATGCCGCACTCTGCGATGATGGCATGTTGACCGGGGTCTCCAGTGACACCCTGTACGACGCCGCGAATCTGGCGATCTATGTCTCCGAGAGACTGGGGCAGTTTGAGGTTGGAGCGGCCTTTCTAGTGATGGCGGCGGTGCGGGCGTTGCCATCAGCTGCTGACTCGATCAACATTGCACTCTCAAACCTGGACCCCGATGGCCACCTGACTGTCACAGAAGGAGCCAAGGTGCAGTTCGAGGTAGCCACCAGCGCCTGGCTTGTCGAACTGGAGGCAACGGTGACGTCTGGTGTGGCGCGCGGCGTACCGTCGCTCGCAGACATGGCTGCGAGAGTCCTCCTGCTGGACGCGGAGTTGCTGCAGGATGCGATTATCGACGGCAGGGTGCCAGACGAGGTGGTGGCGCAGGTGCTGCACTCGGCAGACACGGAGCTGACGGGCGGGCGCGAGAAGCCGGCTTCGCTGATGCGGGCCGAGACGATTGCCATGCGGATCGCAAGCGTGCCGTTTCGCATGTTTCTGGGAGCGGCGGAGGCAAGGAGTGCACGGAGCAAGATGTTGGCGATAGCGTTGAAGCTCCCGCTTGAGCTCATTGGCGCGGAGCTGCTCGAGTCACTGGCAATGGTGATCAGCACATGGTGTCTAGACGCAGACGATGGTAGCGATGTTGTGCCGCTGTATGCAAAGGCGTGCGCGGCGTGTGTGCGCGTCACCGAGACCAAGCTGGAGGGTTTTGTGATGCACCTGCGAGCGCTCGAGCTGACTATGGCGCTGTCTGGCTCGGTGGGCGAGTCTACAGTGGAGCCGTCGCCGGGCGTAATGACCTACCTGGAGAAGTTTGTGTGGGGCGAGAGCAGAACGATCGATGTGGGGATGAGGGCTCTCTGCGGTGCATTGTCGGATCTGACACGAGCTGCGGACATGGATCCGGGGCTGGTGCCGCCGTTTGAGCTTCTGACGCTTATGACCAAGTTGGGCGAGCTGTTGCATCCAGGAGCCGGGATGGTGGGCAGCGAGTGGGCCGCGTTTTCGCCGCTGGGCTCGATGGGTGTGTTTGCAACGATGGGAGACCTTGCGCTGACGACGCATCCAATGCCAAGGGAGGCGATTTGCGGGCTGATGTGGGCGGTGGGCGACTGCCGGCGGGCGCTCGAGCTCTTGGTCAAGGTCTCAATCAGGCCAGCGGTGGTTGAGGCACTGGGCCCGATGCGCGCAAGCGCACACGACGCTACACTGGAGACGATGGAGGGCTTTAGCTCACTCGCCACATCTGTGCTGCAGTCGCTGTCGTGCGTGGAGATGATGGGCGAAGTGCAGATTTCGCACTTTATGTCCGACGTCTCGGCGGCGGTGATGGCAACGATCGAGTACTTGCGCAGCGAGGCGTGCGGCTTTCCATTATCGCTCCCTGACGAGCCCCTGCAGGTGCTGTGTGCACTCGGTGATGCAGCGGCGACGGGGCAGAGCATTCCCAATGATGTCAAGGCTGCGACTGTGGAGATGCTAGCGGTTGTGTTGCAGTCGCGCGATTTGTCTCAGACGGCGTCTGAGTTGGTGCCGTGGGCGCTGGAGATGTTGCAGCGGGAAGGGTAGACAACCGATGGTTGGAACAAAACAGGTTATTCATTGTTGGGCGGAGGCGACGACGAGAGCGGCGAGGGAAGCGACGACGGCGAGAGCGGAGCTGCGGCGGAGGGCGACGATGGCGGCGGGGCCGGAGTGAGCGGCGAGAGCGGGGTGTGCGGCAGCAGCTGGGCGTGGGGCGGTGGCTGAGTGGCGAGGACGAGCGAGCCTGTCTGCGGAAGTGGGGCGGTGGCAGTGGTGGGGGTGATCTGGACGGACGAGGTCGATGTTGCAAGCGACGACGACGAGTCTGTGCCCGGCGGCCAGTGAAGGCTCGCCGGGTCGCCCCAGTTTGGCACGTCTGCCAGGGTGATGGTGTCGGGGGTAAAGGGCACAATGTCGGGGTCAAAGCCGTAGTCTGCGCTAGGCAGCCAGTTGCCTGGAGTGGCGATCCACTTGAAGACCTCGAGGAGGAGCTCGTTGGGGAGGCGGGCCAATATGCAGGTGTCGGCGTACTTGCGCAATGGCTGGCCGGTGAGCGGGTCGGTGACGAGGGTGCGGGCAATGAGCAGGGCTTGCTTGACGGCGCGCTGGACGTAGCGGGGGAACTTGAGGTGGACCGAGGGCATCCACGGGACCTGGAGCTTGGCGTAGGCGGCGTAGGCTCCAAGGGCCGAGTAAACGTCGGGGTGCTCCTCGACCGAGGCGATGTCCATGCACTGGTCAAAGTCAATGCGGACGCGGCGCTCGAGGAGAAAGGCGACAATGTCTGTGTAGCCCTTCTTTGTGGCGATGACGACGGCGGAGCGAAGGCGCTTTGTGACAGCGTTAGGGTTTGCGCCGGCCGAGTCGACGAGGAAGCGGACGACGTCAGCGTGGCCCTCCTGCGCGGCGATGAGGAGCGGGTTGAAGCCCTGGTGCTGGCCGGCCTCGACGGCGACGCCGGCGTTGACCAGAAAGGCGACAATGTCTAGGAAGCCCTTCTTGGCGGCGACGTAGAGGGTGGTCTGCCCATTATCGGTGACGACGTCCGACTGTGCGCCGACCTCATCGACAAGGTAGCGAACGATGTCGATGTGGCCCTGAAGGGCGGCGACGTGGAGGGCGCGGTAGCCGTTCTTCTCCCCGACCTCGACGTCGAGATCGACGTCGTCGTGGGCGCGGGCGTACTCGATGAGGTACTTGACGGTGTCGAGATGGCCGTAGAAGGAGGCGAGGTAGACTGCGGTCTGGTCGTCGTTGGCCTGAGCGTCGACGTCGACGTGTGCGACTTCGACGAGGTACTTGACGATTTCGAGCTCGCCCTTTTCAGCGGCGATGAGCAGCGGGTAAAGCCGTCGTCTGAGGGGAGCTTGGCGTCGAGGCCAGCGTCTTCAACGAGGTACTTGACGATGTCCAGCTTGCCGTACCAAGAGGCGATGAAGACCGGGGTGTCGCCGGTCGAGTTGACGATCGAGGTGTCGACGTTGACGTCTTCGACGAGGTAGCGTACAAGGTCGAGCGAGCCGTTCTTTGCGGCAATGTACAGCGGCGTGGCGCCGTTGTGAGTCTGGGCGTCGGGATCGACGCCGACGGCCTCGATGAGGTAGCGGACAACGGTGCTGTGGTCGGCCTGGATGGCGATGTGGAGCGGGCGCCAGCCGACTTCTTGTGCGAGTTCCGCGTCTGCGCCGATGGAGTGAAGGAACTCGACGACGTCGAGCTGACCGTAGTTTGCGGCGATGTAGATGAGCGACGAGCCCTTGGAGGTGAGGCCCGAAGTGACGGCTGCAGCCGAGTGAACGAGGTAGCGGAGGATGTCGAGGGCGCCCTCCTGGCAAGCAACGTGGAGCGGTGACCAGCCGTCGTTGGAGGCGAGGTTTGGGTTTGCGCCGACCGAGTCGACAAAGTAGCGGACAAGGTCCTCGTAGCCGTACTTTGAGCATAGGTAGACGCATGTGATGCCGTTTGCGGACTGGACGTCGGGCGACATGCCGAGCTCGTCAACAAAGTAGCGGACGACGGCAAACTGGCCCTTTTGGGCGGCAATGTGGAGCGGAGTGAACCCGTTCTCGTCGCCGAGGGTGTAGTCGAGGGCGACGGTGTTGACGAGGTAGCGGAGAATGTCGACGTGGCCCTCCTTGGCGGCAATGTAGACGGCAGACTGGCCGTCGTTGGTGCGGGCGTTGACGTTGACCTTACCCGAGGTGACGAGGAACTTGATGACGTCAAGCCTGTTTTCCTGGACGGCGATGAGGAGCGGGTAAAGTCGTAGTTTGAGGCAGTCTCGAGGTCAGCGTTGGCGTGGTTGACGAGGTAGCGGAGTACGTCGAGGTTGCCCTTGGAGGCCGAGATGTAGGTCGGGGTCTGACCGAGGCCGGCCTGGACGTTGGTGTCGACGCCCGCGACCTCGACGAGGTATTTGACGATGGCGAGTTGGTTCTTTTCGGTGGCGATGAGGAGCGGGTTGAAGCCGTCCTTGGACGAGACGTTGACGTCCATGCCGACGGTCTCGACAAAGTACTTGATGACGTCGAGGTGGCCGTACCAGGCGGCGATAAAGGCCGGAGTGTCGCCGGTATCGTTGACGACCGAGGTGTCTGCGCCGGCTTCCTCGACGAGGAAGCGGACGAGCGGCATGTCGCCGAGCATGGCGGCGATGTAGACGGCCGACTGGGCGGTCCGCGACTTGGCGTTGACGTTGACTCCGAGTTCGTTGACCAGGAATCGGACGACGTCGAGCTGCTTCTCTTCGACGGCGGCAAGGAGCGGGGTGAAGCCCTTTTTCTGCGGCACCTCAGGGTCCATGCCGAGCTCCGAGGCGAGGTACTTGACAATGCCGAGGTTACCCTGCTTGGCGGCGATGTAAAGGCCGGTCTGCCCGTTGTGGGTCTTGGCAGAGGTGTTGGCGCCTGCGGCGACGAGGTACTTGAGCAGCTCGAGGTGGCCGCAGAAGCAGGCGACCAGGAACGGAGTGTAGCCGGACTTTTCGGCTTCCTCCATGTCCATGGCCAGGACTTCAACCATGAACTTGACCAGCTGTGTGTGGCCGTAGTAGGTGCCGATGTAGATGACCGACTGGCCGTCTGCGGCGGGTTCCCAGGCGAGCTCGGTCTTGTCGACGAGGTACTTGAACATGTCGTCGAGCCCTTCTTGGGCAGCCATGTGGAGGAGGTGGAAGCCAAACTCGTCGACGATGGACAGGTCTGCGTCTGTCTCCTCGACAAAGTAGCGGAGGAGGTCAAAGTGACCCGACTCGACCGAGATGAAGACCGGGGTGCGGTTGTCGAGGGTGGTGGCGTTGACGTTAGCGCCGGCGCGCTCGACAAGGAACTTGACGGCTTCGACGCGGTTCTCCTGAACCGCCATGTGGAGCGGGGTAAAGCCCTGGCCGACCTCGCCGCCGCCCGAGTTGACGTCGATGTCTGTGGCGGTGAGGATGAGCTCCATGAGCTCGACGTGGCCAAAGAAGGCGGCGATGGAGAGGCAGGTGTTGCCGCCGCCGGTCAGCGCGTGCGGGTCGATGCCTGGCAGCGAGAGGAGGAGCTTGACAAGGCCGGTGTCGCCGTTGCGTGAGGCGACGTGCAGGGCGTTGTTGCGCCACGCGTGGCGGGAGCGGACAGGCGACCATACCATGGGCTCGAGTGCGTTGACGTCGATGCCCTGCGAAGACGCGAGGACTTCTGCAGCGGCAAGGGCGTCGTCCGAGTGGCCCGAGGCCGACCACGGGCCCGAAGCCGGTGACGGCGAGTCTTCTTCGCCGGCGGCGGGCGGCAGCGGAGCGTCGAGCGACCTTGTACCGGCGGCAACCGGGCCCGGCGGCGAGGCCGAGCTTGGGCTGACGACGCCGGCAAGCTCGAGAAGGCGCATGACCCGCGAGACATTCCCCGAGTCACACGCCTCGACAAAGTACGAGTTGGCCGAACGCGGCTGGTGCAGAGTGAGCGGGTCGGCGAGGAGGGCCGAGGCCTCGCCTGCAGGGGCACGGGCGTCAGAGCCGCCAAAGGGAGGTGTGGTCACCGATGATGAGCTCTGTTCCGAGCGAAGGAACCTAAACGAGCCTCCTCCAATGCCTGCAACCGTATTGGACGCCGAAGGTAGTGCGCCACAGTCGGCGGCGTCTGTACCCGTCCGTGTGCGGGAGAGGAAGTGGTATGACAACCGTGTGAGTGAATGAGCCGACATTGCGGCGGGCACTGCCACCATCGCATGTGTCCCTTTCCCCAGCACCACATGCAGGGGGATGGCCATGAAGAGGGGAGGGAGGGGGGGGGGGCATGCAGAGGGTATGACAATACAGAAAACAAGAGAAGGATGAGGAAGGGCAAAGAGGGGGGGTGGGAGGGGGTGGGAGGGAGGGAGGATGTTGGCTCGCTTGCCTTGACCTTGGCCAAGGCGAAGAAGGTCGTGAAACGGCGTTCTGTTCGGCCAATGAATGGCGAAAAACGTACCCATGAGGGGAGAAGGAAAGGGGGGGGGGAGTCGAGTGGGTAGCCACGGGCGACGAGTTTAATTGGTGGCGAACAATTTTGTATTTGTGGTGGAGAGGGGAAGGGAGGGGGG